CTCAGGAGAGACTCCTGGCGCTCCCGCTGCCCGAGCGACCTCCATTCCGGCACACCTAGGGCAGCCCATGTTTGTGTCTCCTCCCCTACCAGACTGGGAGCTTCTTGAGACTCCGGCTTCGGGCAAATCCATTTGAGGTGGAATTTGGCCACCCTCTCATTTGCTACCGTCATTGCTGTCACCAACTCCACGTCCTCACAGCTGGATCTCCAGCCTCACCTCCTCCGGCCAGCCACGCCCGCTACAGCCTTTCCCCGCCCGCCCGGACTCCACAAAGTATTCCCTCTGCCCGAAACCCTCTCCGCATTCCTGGCTCACTCTCAAAATTCAGGTCAAAGCTTGGTTGTCGCCTCCTGAGAGAGGCCATCCCTGACCACACCTGCCCAGCCCTCCATCCTCCACCTCTTCACCTTTATTTCCTCCATCGAGCTCACCAGCAACTGAAAGTCTTATTCATGTATGTGTCTACCCGTTGATCTTCCGCCTTCCCACCACACCCACTGGGATGACAATAACACAAGGGCAGGTGTTCCGTCTGTCCAGCATGTAGAACGTGCTTGGCACACAGCAGGTGCTTACAGTGTTTGTGACTACCTGACTTCGGGACTGTGTACATGCCACTGCCCATGCTTAGAATATCATTCCTTGCTGCATCTTCCTTGGTGAACTCCTATTCATCCTTCAGAACCCCATCCAGTTTTCATTTAAGCAGGGAAGGCTTCTTTGACGGCCTCACACATCCACCACAAAGCTGGAATAAGGGCCTCCTTTGAGGACACACAATGCCCTGTGCCACCTCCGTTAGTACACATGTCACTCTGAATTGTGACAGTGGGTGCCATCAGGTTCTATTTTCCCAGTTAGACTCTCTTCTTGAGGGAAAGAGTGAGGCACAAATTAGGTCTGAGAAACCCTTTAGTGAAAGAATAAATTAACGACTATGTAAGTAAATATATCTCCCTGAGACCCAGCTCCCCGACTTATTTCTACACCCTCCCCCAACAACCTGCCATACCTCGCATTTCCCATGAGTTTGACCTCTCCCCTTGTCCTAGGAATTCATCAGCAAATCCTAGGGTTGGGGGTGTGGGGGAGAATATGCATTGGGAGAGGAGGATGAGGGAAGAGATGGGGTGGTTTCAGATATGACACGTGGGGGATCTTAGCTTAGATTCTGGGGCGTGGCTCCTGGGAGCCCCCCCAACCCAGAGAATAAATAGACCAGTCCCCCAACGACTAAGCTATCCCATCTTGGGGACAGAGGCAAACCCAGACCCACAGGGTCCTAAGCTGACTCAATGAAGACCCTCTAACGACAGTGTGGGCAGGCACGGGGTGGGAGAGGGTTCTTGCGTGCCGCGCCGAGTCCCCGGGGAGTCTGCAGGGCGGGGATTCGCTGCGTCCGCCCGGCCTCGGTGAGTCAGGCTGCGCAGGGGTGGGAGCCTCCGCTGCTACCTGGGAACCTCTTGCCGAGGTTTGGAGAAAGGGAGGGGCCTCCTTTGCGGCCAGGGAAGGAGGAAGGAGGCCCTGGGCCCCGGAACTGGGGCGGAGGTTCAGGTTTCGGTCTCACCTGCGGCTCCGGACCTCGAGCACGCGCACGGCACAGGGTGGGGCCCAGGGCGCCTGTGCTGGGCCCTGCCCTCCTCCCTCGGACCCGGGGGTCCGGGCCCCCAGCCCCTCCTCCCTCAGGCCCAGACCCAGCCCTGATTCCCACCGAACGCCTCTATGAGGATACCTTCTCCACCCGCACAGGAAGAAAGCACGTGGGCTCAGCCAGATCTGCGTTTGTGTCACAGCCCGCGGCCACTGTGACTTTGGGCTAGTGGTCTCCCCACTCCGAGCCTCTATCTTCTCCTCTGTCAGTGGGGTACCAATCCCGACCCTGTCTCTCTCACAGAGGGTCAGGGGTCTGCTCCCTCCCTCCAGCCCCAATCCTGGCAGGGCGGAGCTCAGGCGACATTTGTGGCATGGATGTGACAGGGACAGGGAGTGACAGAGGCTGGTGACAGAGGATCCTGGACCCTCTCCCTGCTGCGCCCTCGAGAGCCCCCGCCCACATGTAAGTGCGCCCAGCAGTGTGTGACACCGTGGCTGGTGCAGCCCAGCTCGGGCAGCTCCAAGGCCTGGAACACTCCTTCCTCATCCTCCAGGCCACCTTGGGCTGTCAAACTCGCCCTTCAGGTTCAGCTCTGGCCGCCCCTCCTCCTCCAGGAAGCCCGCCTTGACCTTCTCAGCAGCCTCTTCTGGGCTTCCGCGGAGCCCTGTGTGTCCTCTATTTTAGCGCAGACGGAAAAGAAGGCTGTCATCTCCCTCGTTGCTAACATTCACCTAGCGCTTCCTCTCTACCAGCTACTGTGCTAAGACCTCTCCATAACCTCATTTAATCCTCCCAACGCTGCGATGCCCATTTTACAGCTGGGGGACTGGGGCACAGAGAGGTTAGGTAATTTGCCCAGGGTCACACTGCTAGAAAGGGGTGGGGTCACGAGGTGGCACCATACGGTGGCACCAAAGGATACAGGGTCTAAATTGTATGACCTGGGGCCGGCCCATGGCTTAGCGGTTAAGCGCGCATGCTCCGATGCTGGCGGCCCGGGTTCGGATCCCAGGCACACAGCGACGCACCGCTTGTCCGGCCATGCTGAGGCCGCGTCCCACATGCAGCAACTAGAAGGGTGTGCAGCTATGACATACAACTATCTACTGGGGCTTTGGGGGAAAAATAAATAAATAAAATTATAAAATAAATAAATAAATTGTATGACCTGGATTCAGGCATCTCTGCCACATATTGGCTGTGTGATTGTAGACAAATTGCTTAACTTGTGTGTGCCTCAATTTCCTCATGTGTAAAGTGGGGATAAGTGAACCCATTTCATAGGATGTTGTGAGGATTATACACACACACATATAATCTACTCAGAAGAGGACATGAGCACACAATAAGTATTACCAAAATTAATAAGTGGCAAAGCAAGGACTCAAACCCACACCCACGGGGACTCTTTGCCATCACACCATATGATTGTCTCTCTTCCTCTCCACTCTTTCATCCCATCAGTCCAGGACAAGGGTGTCCTCTCTGGTTTCCAGCCTCACTCAGCGTAGACTGTGGGGTCAACATGTGTTGAATGAAGTGACGAAGCAATAATGCACGTGAACGCACCAAATGCAAAACACTCATTAATTCACACATGTTCCTCCAGCACTCGCTACACTGTGTGCCGCAGACGGGGCGGGCGAATGAACGTATACAAGTCTTTGCCCTCATGAAGCGTACATTCTGACGGGGGGACATAAAATAATCAAAGTGAACAGGTAATCTTGTGTGTTAGAAGGTGATAGGTGCTCTGGAGAAAAATTAAGAATGGGGGCAGGGAGAGAATAGGAAGGAGGGAAGGGTAAGAGGTGCTGTCATTTTAAGCAGGGTGGTCAGCCAGGCCTCTCTGGGGTGATATCATTTGAGCAAAGGAGGTGAGGGAGCAAGCTCTGAGGATATCTGCGGGAAGAGCATTCCAGGCAGACGGAATGGCAAGTGCAAAGGCCCTGAGGCAGGATGGGGTCTGGGTGCTCAAGGAGCAGCAAGAAGGCCAGTGTGCTGGAACAGAGTGATGGAGGGGGAGAGGAGGAAGAGAGGAGGTTAGAGTAATGTTCCGGGGCCGGCCCCGTGGCTTAGCGGTTAAGTGCACGCGCTCCGCTGCTGGCGGCCCAGGTTCGGATCCCAGGCGCGCACCGACGCACCACTTCTCCGGCCATGCTGAGGCTGCGTCCCACATACAGCAACTAGAAGGATGTGCAGCTATGACAAACAACTATCTACTGGGGCTTTGGGGGGGAAAATAAATAAATGAAATTATAAAAAAAATAAAATAAAAATAGAGTAATGTTCCTTAAGACCTCATAGACATCAGCTTTTATCCAGAGAAATGGGGAGCCACCAAAGGATTTTGAGCATAGGAGAGACGTGAGCTGACTTAGGTTTTTGTGGGGTCCCTGCTTTGAGCCTAGGCTGAGGGGAGGAAGGGAGCAGGGAGACCAGTCAGGAGGCCACTGCAGTGGTCCAGGTGAGAGGTGATGGTGGCAGGAGTCAGGTGGGGATCTCTGACAACCAGAAAGGCTAAGAGTGGGCGTGTCCGTCGGTCCCCTGCTCCGCTCTCTCAGGTCTGAGCTTTGGAGCCTAACATTGTCACCACCCACTGCATGTGGAACCTGAGGCAAGTTTCATAACCCTTATACGCCTCAGTCTCCTCACCTGTGAAATGGAGACCCCCAACGCTCACCTCACTGGGTTTTGGGAAGAAATTATGTGTATAATTTGGTTCACAAGGACCATGCCACAGGGGAGGTTCTCGAAAGGAGACTGTGTGCCTGAGGAACCTGTTAACTGTTGGAGTTGTCCCACGCACTGAGTGAGTGAAGTCCTCGCCATCATCGTAATAGGGGATTACTGAAGGAAATTTCCAAAGGAAGAGGGAAGGGGAGGGGTGAAGGCCAAAGGCACAGCAGAGAAAGGGACCGTGAACAGGAGGTGTGCACAGAGCAGGGGCGGACGCCGGCCCTGGAGACAGAGAGAGAGCCCTGGGTTCAAAGCCCACCCTGCCACATTAAGCACCCCGCTCTTTGACCATGAACCAGTGCAAATCAAACCTCCGGCTTCCGGAGATATTAGGAGAACTCGAATGGCGTATTTAAGACAGAGCTTTCCATTCTGGATTCTGGCATGTGAAGAAGTGCGACATCAAATTACTGTTGTTGTTATTGCTCGAATGTTGTTGTGATGGAGAGATCACAGCCCCGGAGGCCGTCCCAGCCAGTGCCCACCACCCGCCCCACCACCACTGCGGGTCTTTCTGCCAGCCCCGCCCAGGGGCCGCTCCAGCGTTTGGTGCCAGGTGAGTGCTCAGGTATGCGGAGGCGGGCCGCCCTGGGAGGGAGCTGGAGGGAGGGGCCGGCAGTCTGGAAGGGAGAGGAAGAGGAGAGCCGAGAGCCGAGCCTCCCATCTGACAGCGCCTGACGGGGCAGGTGAGGGGGCCGCGAGAGAGGTCTGGGTCGCGGCGAGGAGGGCTGCAGGAGGGGACTCCCGGGTGTGGGGAGGAGGAGCAGGGGCCAGGACTCCTGGGTCCCGACACAGGAAGGGCTGGGAGCCCTAAATTCTTGAGTCCTGAAGAGGTAACAGCTGGGAGCCGGGACTCCAGTAGCTAAAGGAAGAGTATAGGGTCACAGGGGCTGAGGCACTGGACGAAGAGTCCTCTGAGGAGACCTGGGCTCAAAACCCTTTGGTTCTTAGGGAAGAGGAGCGCTGAGCCCGGACTCCTGGGCCCCTGAGAAGGTAAAGGCGGTGAGACGGGAGCCCTGGGTAGAGAGGGGAAGCGGAGAACAACTAAATGCCTGGACCCCTGCGGGACCTGGGGGCCAGCGTACTAGGTGTGAGGGAGGAGGGGCCGGGGTCCTGGACCCCCGGGTCTGGGG